CCCGTTTGCATTTACTCCTATCAGCTCCAGCATGGCTTACCATGATGCCAGCATTATATCAAGTAGCCCTGTGAAGCCAATGCAGCGGCCTATGGCTACCCATCCCGACAAAACCAAGCTTGAGTGGATGAATAACGGCTACAGTGGTGTTAGCAATTCATCGGTTGCAAACCATGGCATCCTTACGAGCTATCAGGAGCTGGTGGAAGACCGCTTCAGGAAACCTCACGCTTTTGCTGTTCCTGGCCAGTCATACCAGTCTCAGCCGCGCCACCATGATACTCACTTTGGTCGCGTGACTCCTGTTTCACCTGTGCAGCACCAGGCAGCCCCTGTCAGTAGCACCACCAAGCAAGAGGGCTTTGCTGTTCCTGCTCCTTTGGACAGCAAAGGGACCGGTTCCTCTCTCAACAACAGTCTGAGATGCCGGAGCGTGAGCCCTGCTGTCCATCGCCAGCGTAATCTCAGTGGAAGCACTGTTTATCCTGTTTCAAATATACCACGCTCTAACCTGACACCTTTTGGAAGTCCAGTGACTCCTGAAGTTCACAATGTATTTGCTAATATCCATGCAGACACCAGTGCCAATAACATAGCGCAAAGAAGCCAGTCAGTCCCATTGACTGTGATGATGCAGACAGCCTTCCCGTCTCTTCAGAAACAAACAAACACTAAAAAAATAACCAATGTGTTGTTAAACAAACTTGATTCTGATAGCGATGATGCAGTGAGAGGTTTGGGAGTGAACAACATGCCCTCAAATTACACAGCCAGGATGAATCTCACTCAGATTTTGGAGACATCCGCTGCTTTTCCTGGTGCCAACCCACAAAATATGATCAATTCCAGCACTTCAGTTTATGAATTCCAAACACCAAATTACCTCACAAAAAACAGCAGCACCGATCAGATCAGTTTTTCTTCTGGAGATAACCAAGCACAATCAGACATCGGAGAGCAGCAATTAGATTTTAGCAGCACTGTAAAAGACCTTTTAGGGGAGGACAGTCTGCCAACAAACCAGCAGCTGGTGAATCAGGTGGCATCAGATCTCAATAACGTTGCATCTGTCTTTTCCAGCGACATCAGGTTGTCTTCCGAGCTCTCAGGCAGCATTAATGATCTGAACACTTTAGACACAAATCTACTGTTTGATCCAGGTCGTCAGCAGGGACAAGACGATGATGCTACACTGGAGGAATTAAAAAATGACCCCTTGTTTCAACAGATCTGCAATGAATCCATTAACTCAATGACTACATCAGGTTTTGAGTGGATGGAGAGTAAGGATCATCCTGCTGTTGAAATGTTGGGCTAATCTTGTTTTATAATATGTATGTAGCACACTGTATCTAAAAGACAGATGTATTGTATTTGTCTTAATGGAAGTGCCTCCCGCAGCAGAAACACTTGCTATGTGTTGTGGCATTTTTTAAAAAGTTTGCTGTACCCATTGCTTATTCTTCAGCAGGGAAAAGGCAGTCTTACCAATTTTAAACAAACTTCTGAAGACGATGGGCTATCAAAGAGCCAGTATTAAAATTTGAATTTTATAGTGTTTCCCATTCAGCATTTCTTATTGTAGCAAACAAAGAAGTGGTTAATAGCCAGCCAGCAGTGACAGCTATGGTTGAGGCTTTGGGAGGGTTTTAAGTCGAGCTCGCTAGTAGGCTTTCCTTACTTTGTATCACTTGTTAAGTTCTTAGTAGATGATCCTTACTGACCTTTGTCATTCAGGTCTGAAACGCAGGGTGCCTGCAGATGGGTAGGTGGTGGGAGTAGGTGCAAGTGAACCGGGTGACATGACCATTGTGTAGCTGTCTTGAGCACTGCACGGTGGTGAACTGTGGAAAATCTCTCTAGCACTGGTGCCATTGACATCGCTAGTAAAACGCAGAGGTAGGAAAAAACTAACAGGAATGATCAAGAAAGATGCACTAAATTTTTTATTTAAGAGAAATAAATCTATGTAGTTATTTTATCCATTAATATTCGTGACATACTTGATATTTTAGTTCTCACTTCAGTGTTTTTATATTAGGTAAAATTCATGCAAAAAGATTTTGAGCACTGAGATTTAATCTAGGCATAACACCCTATTTTAAAGTGATAGGTACTGTTTAATTATTTATCAACTCTAGAGAAGGAACGTGGTATTTCCCCTCTTTTTTTTAAATAAAAGAGCTGCTGGAGCTCATTAAAATACTATTTTTAAAGATGCATTTTTTAAGCTTGCTCTTTCCTAACCTAGTGGAGGGTGTAGGAAGATGTTATATTTTCTCTATATTTCAGTAGGTTGAGCCTTTCTGTCTGTCTTGCTCGTTCTCTTTCTCTCAAACAAAAGATGATTAAAATATTAGAAAATGTGGTTGATCTAAAAATATTTCATATAGAGCCATAATACTGCCAGGCACTTTACAGATACGCAGTAAGAGATGTGATCTTTCTTTTGGTAAAACTTCTTTTAAAAGTACTTACTGTTTTAGAAGCCTGAATTCCACTTTCATAAGTGATTTGACAGGACTGGTGAATCTTAATTTTTTTTTTTTTTTTTTTAAGTCCTTAGCTGCCCCTCTGGAAAATGAGATTTAGACTTCTGCCTCGCTAGTTCACTTGAACCAAAAAATACCTTTTGTTTTATCAGCATGGCATGGATCTCTCTAATGGCGAAGAGAGAGAGGTACTTAACCAGCTACGGCCCTGATGCTAGAAAGAGGATTTGCACAGGCAAGCTTTTACAAAAGAAGTGGTGCACTGAGGATGCTACAATACCATCCCTTAAGCATAGTATAAAATTGATTATTTCTCCTGTGAACTGACACAAAACAGAAAACACATTGCATTACTTCTTTGAGTGAGCAGTCATGAATTTATGAAGGGGGAGGCACAACAGGCCCCCCTAGATTTACTTAAGGGGAAGATGCTCAGATATTTTTTTTTTTAAGTGTCTTGGTGGTCTTCTGTTTCTTCAGTTTTTGCTAATAACTTGAGGTCCCACTACTGGTCTCTTTTTTTTTTTTTTGGCAGTGCTGATTAAACTTGTGCTGCTGCATTGGCACTTGAGGTGCTGGTGTACCATGGCTTCTCTTGCTCTTGCCCCAATTCATCACCAGTCTGTGGCCTCTTCTGCAAGGACGAACAGTTGTGCCAAGCTATAGCACCTTATGGGGGCCCGATTTCACTGTGCTTGCATCAGAAGTGTTGCCACTTCGTAAGGAACAAACTCGGAGAATTCAGATCCTTCCTTGAAGCTCATGGATGTGCGATGGTGCGGTTTGCTTTAAGACCAAGTGACCCTTTTAAGTTTTTTGGTTTGTTTTGTTGGGTTTTTTTAAGGAAATGGAGAGGAGACTAAAAACTGCATGGTAGCCTTCAGCTTGTTATCTTGCCAGGTGTCTGTCAGTAAGGCTTGAACCATTTGTCTTCTAGGCTAAAGTTGCTGGAGGCAGGGCTTGAGTTCTGTACCTGCCCACGGCCTTTTGCCAGAGATGTGCTGAACATCCTCTTACCTTGTTGACTTCTCTGAGTCTGAGAGACACTCAGCACCTCTTCTGTTGTGGTTTGTTGTTGTTTTTTTTTTTTCCCCCAACCCTGTGTGAAGTGCCAGCACTACTGTGAATAGGTGAAACCTACCTTCCGATGGAGAGTGATGGGGGAGGATGCGAGCGCCAGTGCTGCGGGGAGAAGCCGCGCATGTGCTGCAGCAGCCCATGCATTTGCATGACATGCTTGGCCTCGCCTCCAGGTCACTAACACCAAGACTGATGTGGGCTTGGGGGAAATAAGTTTTTTGCCTAACTCCACTAGTTTCTTAAGAACATTTCTCAGAAAAGCAAGAGTAGATTTAAAGCTGATGCGTTCTAAATTATGCAGCCATCACCAAAGGTTTTTAAAAGTGCATTTAAAATTATTTTTAAGTACAAGCATTACATTGGGCCTAACATGACTTAATTAGCGGAAATATTCTATAATCAGTGGATTTAAAGCAAATATATGTTTAATTTAAGAAGTGTTAAATTCAGTAAGGATTGTTTCAAGTAAAATCCAAGGCACAGGTGCAGCTTTGTACATTGGTATGTATTATTTTAGAGGTGTTTGTGTGTTGGTGTTATAATTAATAACATTAGGTCCCTGTACTTAGTGCTAGTTAGTTCTTTACTATACGTTGAGACAGAGCACTACTGCACACCAAAGTATGCAATACCCAAAGGAAAATTCTGTGATTCTAAGAAATGGAAGCCTGTCTGTGTCAGATACTCCAAAACTAAGAATTTGAGACAGTTCTGACCCCTTGTTTACATTATTGGCTTCCTACTAACATGAGGAATAAATTATTTTGATAGCAGGTTTTGCTAAAGTATACAAACTAGTGAATTTGTACCCTGTGTACAGTATTGCAGCAAACACTTTAAATTTGGTTGGTTGGTTAGTCCAGCAAACTTTCTGGGTTCATATATTGCACTAAAATTCTGTTGAACCTGTGGCAGGCACATTCCTTAGGATAAATGCAAGAAATACAGCCCACAGATTTAAAAAAAAAAAAAGGGAAAAAAAAAAAAAAAAACTTTTTAATGTGTTTCATTATTAAAAGGCAAAATGTCATTAAAAGTGACAGGTGAAATTGTCTTATGTAGCAATGTGCATTGATCTCAATGAGATATTTCTATTTCTTATTCTCTTACATGAGAATATTACAGCAGGAAAAATTAAGTTTGGTTTGCTTCACCATGTTAATACATGATCACAAAATGTGCATGAGTGTTAATGACTTAATCTTGTACAGTACTAGATATATTCCTGTAACCACTTTTATTTTTTTTATTCTTTTGCTGTATTGAAACTGGTTCAGTGTTAACCAGGTGAGCATAGTTATTCACAAGTTATTTACTTTTTTATGTTAACTAATTCAGCTTAGTTATTGTTGAATACGTTCCTTTCTTGGATTCTTTTTTATTGTTCTGGTGTTGAAAAACATTTTTGCATCATTTTGTCATGATAAGAATTCATGAAGTAAATAATTTGCAAATAATTGCAATAAGCACTGACTTCTGAACTGAAAAGAAGGAAAGCGTTTCTTGTGCATCTGAGCTTCATATAACAGTCTTGTACTATACTGTGCTTTATTTACTGCACCATAAGAAAAGAAAAATCCCTGTTCCATGTTTTCATTTAGTGCAGGAAATCCAGTTTCTCCCCTCTTCCCCAGTGTTTTGTTGTCTGTTGAACTGCTGAAACTACAGTAGTGGAATATTGCAGTAGCATTTCAGTTATTTTTTTTATTGAAAGTGCTCAAAAATTGTTTTTTAAATGTTTTCAAAAATAATAAAAACATTTTATATTAAAATGACTTCTGGAGTTTTTTCTTTATATGGAAAATGTGCGTTAAGGTTGACCTAAAATACAGAGCTTTCTAGTTTGTACAAAGCCAGATCACAGCTGCCCAGCGGTACTGACTTGCTGCAGTTGCTGAGCCCAGTCATACACTTGAAGCTGAGCATGAAGGTGAATCTTCCTAGCTGGGATGCCTTGATCAGTCTGTGCTCTCAGAGTAATCTCTTGAGAAGTTGGTGGTAATGGGCTTCTGACCGTTCACTTTATCTTTGTATTCCGTTTCTGTAGGTATCCCTTTTAAGTGGAAAGGGGATCCTTTCCTGGGTGGTGATACTATTACATTTGGGGGATAAAAACAGCTGCAGTTTACAGTTGAACCTGACAGTTCAAATTTACTATCCAATACTAAATTACTACTTTGGCCGAGGCTGTACTTCAGAACGTGGTGGTGGTAGTCGTGCTGGTTAGAGTTGTTGTCACGTGCAGCTCATTGGTGCTGCATTCATCCTGCTGTGGGTGCTGGTCAAAGTGTTTGTTTCGTGGCTAGGTGCTGGCTCTTGCTGTTGTGGCATACAACATACCATTGCTGGTATAGCTATCCACGATGGTGGTGCTTGGTTGGTTTTGCTTTTTGACACTAGTAAAGCACTCGTACAAGATAGTGTTACGGTGCAGGTTGGCTTGCTGCCATAAAGGGGAAAATATGCTGTTTTGATCTATGGAGTCCTTTATTTGGGTTGTAAAATTGTATATAAACCCAGCAGTGTTCCCAGCACAGTCTATGTGAACACGATGGAGAAGTGTTGCCACAGAGCAGAAACTGGCTACGAGAAAATGAGGATAAATAATCAGGTTTTCATGCCAAAAAGATAGCACTGGTTAACAGTTAGGTTCCATCCCAGACTACAGAGGTGCTGAGATGAGCTGACAGGTGGCAGATTTGATGGTGGCACAATATCGGCAAAGAAAAAGATCATCACGGAGTCATAAATCAGGTGGCATGAACGAGCATCAGAAAGATTAATTTTAACACTACATTGGAGGGTATGCTATTAATATATCTCACTGGATTCTAAATTAATGTGCTCTAAAAAGAGTTCTCAATAAACAACTCACGGACATGCTTTCTCCATGTTCCACAGTCATAAAAAATGCAAATTAAAAATTCACAGGGAATGAGATAGAGTATGATGTAGAAGATATAAAAGGCCATTTTAGAAATTGGTAGTTCATCTGATGTAATAATGGGTTTTAATCGGAACCTCTCAGCAGTAGATTGGAAAGAATTGGCCTTAATGGTTAATAAAAGGGATCATAAGAGCAAACAAATCTGTGACTGAATGGAAATGACCTAACAGGAAAGACTTAAGAAGGTAGAAATGTCAGGCTAAATGCGTGATCAAAATAACTACCTCAAAATGTTGAAGTCATGAGCTTTGTAGGTTTCAAAAAGACTAGATGTTTATATGTTTAATAAAGACATCCAGAGTAAATTCTAAACAACTGCATCTCCAGAAATATAAATCCGCGTGTGTGAATGCAGCTGGTATGCTGGTAAACAGAATTCCCCCTCTAGGGTCATAAGGATTGTTGTGTTGAATTAGCTGGTGGTTCGTGTAGTCTGTACAGTGTCTCTGGCCATTGATACCACCATCTTCTCCAGAGAAAGAAGGCCTACATTATTAGGTGGTCGCAGAAGAAATTGCCTCCACGAAAGCTGCTCTCCTATACCCAAGAGCTAGAAGCTCAATCTGAATCCAATGCGTTAGAGCTGGGTGAGTGGACTAGGTGACCTCCAGAGCTTCCTTCCAACCTCACTTTGTCAGCATGTGCATCAAGGCTGGAGCGTTGAGTAAACCTAACTGGATCTGACTACGTAGCATGGCTGCTCAGGTAAAGTTTAAGTGTAATATTTGATTATCATCAAATTCATTTGACAGCAAATTTTTAATTATCTCAACCTCCTCTGACGCATAAGTCAGAGATAACCAATACTTGGATCTTGATGCCCTCCTCCCCCTCTTAGAAATGGTGCGAGTTAAGCTTGGATAAGGAGATGAAATACGAGAAAAATGTATAGTGAGGCTTACAAATTGGGGAATAACTCTGGAAAGCAATTCCAAACTAAAGAAATGAGCAGTGACCTGACTGTACGCTTAAGATGTTTCTGAATAATGCTTATAAGGGAGTGCAATAAAACTTGCAAACTTTGTGGTTCATGTAAAACTTTTGATCTGCCTGGTGTTTCTAATAGTTACCTGTAATCATGCGGACCACAAGACTGTTACACATCAAGCAGTTAAGTGATCCACATAACAGCTAACAATTAGCCTGAGTACGCCCAGGCCTGTGTTGTGCTGTGCTTATCCTCTGGCAGCAGAGTAAACTGGGCCAGGTAAGCATAACAGAGGAGCCTGCAGGCAGCTCCCGCTTGGCGCTGGCAATTATGCCACCTGTGCGTCCTTGCCTTTATCTAAAAGTGCAGCAAGACGTTCTCATGTGAACATCCTTTCTGCTTGGCAGTAGAAATGATGAACGGACCTGTCTTCTTGTAAGAAAATCCCGTAAGAGCTCAAATAAGCAAAGTGGGGTAACCCTGCCATGGACAGGATCTGCATGTGGATCAGAGGCCTGTTCAGTGCTGCATAGCTCGGGGATGT